TGGCGACAAATTCCTGGCCAACGAGATAAAAGTTAAGTACCAAATATTTTAAGCCTCATTAGGAAGAGCCAAAATCTCGCCGAGCAGACTTTGTTGGCCGACAGCATACAGTATACACATAAAAAATTTTAAGATATGTTAGTTCTAAGAATTTTTTATTTTGAAGGAATAAACATTTTAATACGGTTTAAAATTTTGTAAAAAGCTAGTAAAGGCAATAAATTTGTAAAAACACATTAAGAATTTACTATGCTTTCATGGTTCAACATCCCGTTTCGCCGGTTTGTATCACGTGACCCCAAGTGATCTCATCTCACGTAAAACTACGCTACAAAAAACTAATTCTCTCAGTAATTATCTACATTAATTTCAAGATAAATCTTAATATATAATACAAGTTTAAATGCAAGAATTAGTTCAACTCGTACGAATAGCTTACTCAGAAATTATGTAAAACCGCCTTGCTTTACTTCGCTAGTGCATTCTCATTAGAATTGTTGAATTTAACCCTTGATTTTGCCTTTTCTATATTTTCGGCTTTGGGTGATTCCATCCTAATTAACTTAATTACCGCGAATGGTCTTAAGGCATAAAATTTAGCTATCTATGTAAAAATTTTATGTAATTGTATGCCAGTATTGAAAGAAACAATCAATCTGATAAGAAATGGCTGCGACTTGTTTTGAAAAGGAAGCGTAAAAGGCTACTAGCGAAGATATTCCGTTTGGCATCAGTTGTACCATTATTGGCGACTTTATCGTTTGCGCCGGCAAAACGGAAAAGTACCACATTTTCTTATTATATTTCTGACTTTGTAAAAAATTTCAAAAACACTTTTAATGAATTATCTTTATTTACTTGTTTTCTTGTTATATAGATATATGTTTAACACTTAAACATATACAGGGTGATTCTAAATTGTTTTTAGAAATTAAGAGGCTTAATAGTACCCATCCAGATGCGCAATAATTACCATAGAACATAGGGTAGCAGTCTACTCCGAAAGGCAGAAAAGAGGAACATTAGAATTTTAACCTGAACTTCCAACAGTGTTGGGAAAGCGAACGAACGAGACCAAAAGCTGCCCAATCGGATTTATTTTTTAGTGAAAAACTCGCAGAAAGTGCTCAAAATGCCAACCTCGCGTGTCGTTGCACAGTTGATGTCGCAAAGAAAGACTGGCGACCTCTCCTGAAGATTCCTGGTGTATGTTAATTTTGTCCACAGCAACAAAGATTCGGCTGATCTTTAGAATATGGTAACTGGTAGTTTGGCGACATTTTGGAGGCGATAAAGGTTACTACCTGGGACTTTGGTAATAATGTGAGCAGTACTCAGTTCCGATTACGCATTATTTGTTGTGAGGGAAATGAGAGATCATGGGATATGTCATGTGATTAATGGACGAATTACGGTTCTTTAATCGGAAAAGGGGGAAATCGGGAAAAATCTGAAATTTTGTATTTGGCTTTATTCTGTGTGTGTGTGAAACAGTGTTTGTTATTTTTTAGATCCCATGGCCCTAACTAAAGTGAATTCGAAATGGGTATTTAGTGGGATTGAAAGGGGTAATAATAAGTATTCTTTAAGGTTGTGCGAGATAGAAGTAAAGATGTTATATTAAGTTATTTATTTTACCTGGAACCTTGCTGTGAACTATAAGTATGATTTTAAAGATCCTGAAACAGAAATAAGAAAAGTTATCGGACACGTAATCAGATTCTGAAGAAGATTATGTAAGTTAGTATTTTAATTTTTGAGGATATTATTTTTATGCATTGTTCTAAATGTAAGGTGGAAGTAAAGTAATTTGCGTAAACGTGCATGGAAATAATTTAAATATTTGACACTAAGTATTTGTAACCATTTGTAATGTTTGCGGTATGAATTAGTTAGTGACGTTTGTAATATAATAGATAATGTAGAGGTAAAAGTTTTTGGATATTTTATTTATTTTATACGGGCAAATGTTCCTATTTGGAAAGGGTATATACTTTTTCGCGATCAGGTAATTTCATATATGTTCTTTTTACCGGGTTCAGAAAATTGTTATGCATTTTCGTGAAATTTTTCTAATTTATGAGAAAAAAGCAGTGTACATGGATATAGTGAAGAGTGTGCGCAATGCCATTTTTGTGCAATTCTGGGATGTTTTTTTAAGTAAAAATAAGTCGACGTGTACATGATTTAGTGATATTTTAATTAAATGATAGTTATTTTGTGAATTTTATGTTTGTAGGAATTTGGTATACGTTTTAGTTGAAGTAAACGTGCATGGAAATAATTTAAATATTTGACACTAAGTATTTGTAATGTTTGCGGAATGAATTCGTTGGTGACGTTTATAATATAATAGATAATTGAGAGGTAAAAGTTTTTGGATATTTTATTTATTTTATACGTGGAAATGTTCATATTTGGAAAGGGTATATACTTTTTCACGATCAGGTAATTTCATATATGTTCTTTTTACCGGGTTTAAAGATTAAAAAAATTGTCATGTATTTTTGTGAAATTTTTCTAATTTATGAGAAAAAAGCAGTGTACATGGATATAGTGAACAGTGTGCGCAATGCCATTTTTGTGCAATTCTGGGATTTTTTTTAAGTAAAAAATAAGTCGACGTGTACATGGTTTATGTGTATGTGTTATTTTGAAAAACGCGTAAGGAGTATGGTATCGTGCACTTTTTCCCAATTTTGCAGTGAATGTTTGTCATGATGAAGCAGTTTTGTTAGATAAAATTTCTAGCATAAGTGTAATTCGGCTAGTAGATTGTTGGAAGAAGTGTTCAGTAGAAAAAGAAAAGAAAAACATGTCTTTACTTCGTGAAGACAAAATGGCGGCGGGGAAAAAAAAATAGAAGGTTGCTGTAGGAGAGTCGGTCGCCAAATTTTCGCCAAAAAATCGCCAAGTTACCATAACGTAAAGATCAACCAAAGATTCTTGCCATGAGATCTTCAGCTGAGTCCACAGGTGTCTCGTACACTAAAGATTTCTTACGTCCCCATAAGAAAAAGTCCAGTGTTTTGAGATCCGATGAATGAGGATGACACACCACAGGTCCACCACGTCCGATCCATTGCACAGGATATGTAGCATTCAAAAGGTTACGGACCGTGACGCAAAAATGTGCTGGGACTCCATCGTGCATAAACTACGTTTTTCTCACTGGGGAGCGGAACAGCCTGCAATAAACTGGGAAGCACTTGTTCCAAGAAGATACGGTATGCTGTGTTGGTCAAACTGTCCGGCATGATGTTAGGGCCTACCAGGTAGTCATCTAGGATACCTGCCCAGACGTTCACGGAAAATTTCTGGTGTTTCGGAGGGGTAGTGCAGTGAGGATTGCCGTCAGACCAAACATATTGATTGTGCATGTTGAAAATGCCTTCTCTGCTGAATGTTAGCTCATCATTAAATACTATTAATGCAGGAAATCATGGAATCCTCATTCCAAGCATCCATTGCACAAAGTCTGCCCCACAGGGATAATCATCCATTTCCAAAAATACCAGTACCAACTAGGAACAAAATACTGCTTTTTCTCAGTGCAAATTTGCACACAGTTAATTCTTGATAGTCTTACAAGATAGTCTCCTAGTTCTTCATCAATGCACTCTACTTTCATCTTTTCTGCCTCTCAGTATGGAATGTGACCCTATGTTCTAAGTATTGCTTGTCTGGATGGGTATTATCACCCTCTTGATTTGTAAAAACAATTTAGAATCACCCTGTATATCATATGGGAATAATGATAACATTGTCAAAATTTATAATATTTGCTTAAATTACCTAAAATAAATGAAACATTTAATCTAAGAATTCTGTATTTAGTAATTTCTTTAACCTTTAAATAAATGAAACTTCATTTCTTTTTCAAATTAAGAAATAAATAAATGAAACAGCAAGTTTGAACAAAAGTACATTATTCTTTAGAATAAACCTGAATTATAAATTTTATTCACAGACCTTTACTGAAGATTATTAATATTTTACATAGATTCTATTCTTGAATATAAAAATAAACTACATCTTTTAAACATTATGATTTGATTCCACATAATATTTGAAACACATGCCTGAATTAACTACAGCAAAAAGTGTCCAAATACAAGAAAAATTTACATCCAAAATGAAGGAGAAGTTATTCCTATTCTACCCTCCACTTCTTAAAGTGTTAAAATTTCTAAATTTATATTGCAAATAAATCAAATTTGATTAAATACCACCAAATCTGACCATAGGAATCTTAAAATTGAAATTTAATATTTCACACAAAAAAAAAAATTGAACAAATAATGAAATATTTTCAGTGGTTGGAAACCTAAGAGCACAAAAATTTAACAACTCCTAGAATTAACCTTTTGAAAGATATGAAAGAACTGTTTAACAAATAAGGAAAAACTGTTTAATGATGCTTGTTTACACTAAAAATTTTTAAACATTTTTCCATCCTACTAAAATCAAGTAAAGCTATAAAGAACAAATAATAACATTCAGCTATGTGATTTTTAAATTGGCCCTAGCACATAATTTTATGTGAACATAATTAAAAACATTTTTGACGCTTAAAATCTGTTTTAACAACCCCACCCCCTCCTTTTCTACATGAAAAATGTCAATGATTTCACAAACCAAGAGGTATAAAAATCAGTAAAAAAAATTTAAAAAAATTAAACTTGAATTAAAAAGTTACTTTCCCATTTATGTATTCTGCTTACTTTAAGCGCTCTTAAACTATTTAAATTACTCGCCAAAAAATTAAACACACAGAAACATAGCCTCATAATTAATCGCTTAATATTTAGTTAAAAGTCTGAAAAAAAATCAGCATAGAAAAGAAAATTTACAGCCACTTACTTATTTCGAGTTAGTTATATTTAAAATACATTTATAGTAAAGTACACTGAATGACAATTACACAAACAGTTAAATAAATCAGTTAAGAATTTATTAACCTAACAAAAGATGCATTACTACGCTTTTAGTTTGTTTACCTTCATATGCTTGCTTGGCAATATAATACTTCTCTAATAAGTTATCTTTTCCGGATGCTTTGTTTCCAGCATATCTTGTACACTGTACTACATTTCCTTTAAAATGATTTTGGGAACGTTGCAAAACAGTTTTCCCTACATGTACACGATTCGACAGAAACGCACAGGTTCGATACACTGAATTAAAAAACATGCCGTTAAACTTTTGTGTTGATATTTCCGTCAAACGAATGTTTAGTTGCTTTATCCCTACTATATAGAGCAAAGTAATAAATTTCGTTATCAGAAATTGTAAATTTTTCCGCTATTTTGAAGCACATTTAAAAACCAAAAATTGTATCCAAAATATGTATAACTTTTGCGTAGACTTAAACCTCTGCAATCTTATTCTCATTAAATTATGAACAACTTACATTATGCAAATATGTAGTTTGCTTTTACTAAAGTGCCTTTTCGCATGTAGCAAAGTTATAGGAGATTAATTAAAATAGTAAGTCTAAAAATATGCAGCATTAAAATGATAAAATACACTGGCCAAGTTCTTAAACTTTTTAATATAAATAAAAAATGTAGAGAATATTTCAATCAAATTTCGAATACTACGCTTTAACATCAATTAAACACTTTCAACATTTCAAAAAAAGGTTTGTCTTACGTTATTTACCTTTAATTTATCTTTCAACAATTTATCTTTAAGTATAACCAGGCGCGTAGCCAGGGAGGGTACCCTGAGCACCCTCCAGCTTCACCCTACCTAAGGCTCCTATTAGAGTAGCCTTACCCCTACCTATACTTAAAAAAGTGGTAAATAATTTTCAATGGATAAGACTCAAGTTTTTTTTTTTTTTTTTTTTTTTTTTTTTTTTTAAATATTGCTTTCCAGCCTCCCAAAAAAAATTCATGTGATTAACTAAGAATGAACGGAAAGTCTACTATTTTCCAATTAGAAGTGAGATCAAGAAAAGTCATCCTTCCACAACAAACAAGCGGCGGGAAAGTACTTAAAAGGTTATGTGACACTCTAAAGTCATAAAGCTTTTGTTCTTTTACAATTTTGAATAATCTTTCATATATATCTCCCTCCGTACGTATCCTACGTACGAAACTTTCCGTCTAGCTATCCAGCTTAATGTCACTGAAGACGGAAAAGCCCTTTCATTTCGTACCAAGCATCTAAAAGCATAATGGTTAAAAGAAAATAAATATTAGAAAAAAGAAGAAAGTAAATAGAAGAAAAAATTAAGTTGGGGAATTTAATTTTAAGACTTAGTAACCTAAATATTGCACAAAACAAAAACATAGTAAAATAATTTTGAGTGATTGTTTTTTACATAAATTTCGAATTTAATTTAAGATAATAAATACAGCAAAAATATTTAAAAAAATTTCTGAAATAACATAGAGAGCATGTCAACTTCGATGTTTTCAATGCAATAAATTTTATTTTCTTAGTCATCTAGCAATTTAAGTTCTTTTTATTTAAAATGATTTAATAGGGTAGTTCTTAAATACGCAGATAGTTTATTTACTGCCAAGCATTTTATTTTATTTTATTATTAGCCTAAAGGCGCAAAATTGCCCATAAAAGCTATTAATTTAGTTTTAGCATTTTGCTTTGGTTCACTATAAAAGGCATTTCACTTCTCAAATTGTTGCCACCAAACATTAGAGCTCTGCATTAAAGAATAATAATGAAGAATCTGGATGAATGTATGTATGTTCTTCGCAATGTGAAAAAAACCAGTACCTACAGACATCAAATTTTGAATAACGTAGCCCTCCATTCGAATATGGGCATCTGGAAGCCCAAATTTGGAGTTTGGAATTTCTTTTATTATCTGTTTCATGCTCTGTAAAACTTTAACGAATTTTTTATTAACAAACACAACCATTTCGAAGCAAGCAATGGCAACACTGTACGAAAAAAAATTATCTCCAGCGTGTGAGACTATGTCCTGAAAATTTTAAAGATAATTTTAATATATTTTTAATATTGCTGTTGAGTTGAATTTACGATTTAAGTGTGAAGAACATAATATTTAATAAACAAATGTAACATACAAAACGTTAAAAAAACGCTGTCTGGGGGTAGTATAAAATCTGAAAGCTTTCAGATTTATTTATTTATTTACTTTGTGTGCGTCTGGGTTTGGGACAAATAAACAGTCAATTACAAATTAAAAGGAAGTAAAAAACAAAAGAATTTAAATAGAATGGGAAAATAGCCCATTAATGGGCAAAATGTATAAGACTGCTCAACAGTGATAGCTCGGCATAGGTTAGAATACCAACAAACGAGCTTTTTTGTTTTTCCTTATGTATAAGGATCTGTACCTAGGCAGTCTCGGCCACGAAGGGGGCGTTACAAAATCACGAGCCTGACGGTTCCAGAACATCAAAGGAAGATTGTTTCATAGGATCGGACTGAGGGGTGATCGGCGAAGACTGAAGGGACTGAGGGATATTTTTTTCTGTGAAGAGAGAGACCCTGTTATCTGTGATATATCTGTATGTTCTGTGAGGAGAGAGGTACTTACTTTTTACTCCGCTAGACAATTGGCCTACTGGAGGGAGGAAGCCTCTCTGGTGAGGAGAGAAGTAAGAACTGTGTACTCCAGCTGGTGTGTGTTGGCCCACAGGGAAAAGGGTCTGAGCCCACGTAATACTGGCCGGAGCATTTAAACGACCAGTCAAATCTCCAGATGTACAAGTTTTCTACTGCTATGAAACCTGGGAAAAGGAATGGTGACCCAGCCCGCCTAGGAGGTTATAGAGAAACTTTTAAAGACTGCCACCTCGGATTGGGTCCCCGGATTTATCCTCTTGGGGAGCTATGACTGGTAACCACCCCCTGCCTGATAGGGGGGCTTTTCAGTTGGGACCAGTCCGTGTCATGTCAAATAAGACGGAGAACGAAAAACAAATATTATTATGTATAAGATAATTACAAACCAGTTTCCTATAGAAAGCCTTCCACAAAGAGGATGGTATTCCTTCCCATAGATAGAAAACCTTTGTATGCTTTAAACAAACAGTAGCAAACATATATGAAATACTAATTATAATGATAAAAATTTGATGTAATTGCAAGATCATATACATCGTCGACATCAAGCCGAAACCACGAATCAACAAAATCCCTTTTCGAGAAAAATAATTTTATTGGTATGGGCTCTATTTTGCACAAATCGATGTACTACGCTAAAGTTTTAACATGTTTATAAAAAAAGTGCATTTTACTGTTTGATCATAATGTAAAGCAGAAAAATAACAGAAAAAAATCAGTACTAATATTAAAGGATATCACCTTTGTTCTCGGATTAGAATGCGAAAATATTATTCATTTTTTTTCTAGTTCATTTACATCATATAATAAGTTTAGATTCATGGCCTAAAATTTAAAAATAATAGCTATTCATTTTTAAATTCTGTAATGTAGAACATCGATTTTTGCAAAATTCTTAAAACAGCCTTTTTTTTTTTTTTTTTTTTTTTTTTTTTGCAGTTTTAAAGCTTCTGTTGATTTTTGTAAAATTCTTAAAACCGCTTTTTTTTTCCAGTTTTAAAGTTTCTGTTCTTTTTTAAGCAAAAAAAAAGTAAACATATAAAAATAACACAAAACACAGGCACATACTGTTTGCTCTCTTCCTCTGTTTAAGAACAAAGGTATGTGGCAGAATAGAACCGAGACATTTTACTAAATTGCGGGAATTACTATAAAAAGGAGGTCCAGTTAGGCCTTAGAGATAAACTATGAGGGATTCGTTCGGCAAATTTGATCATGAGACAGTGAAAGGTAACGAATCAGATCTAACATGTTCAAAAGTTACTATGTTTTTCGTACAAATTTTGCTGTTTGTTGTGTTAATAGAAATAATGCTTTAACTCGTGTTAAGTTAATATAAATCATTTAATATGGGACGCCCTGAAAAAAGAAATCATAAATTAGAAAAAAGTTTAAAAAAATTAAGTTTCTTTTCTCCAAAAACTTGTACATTTTCTAATGAAGTGAACTCTATCGGAAGCATTTCTGGTGTGGAAAAAAAATTAAGCAATCTTCCCCTCCCCATTTGAAAATTCTGACTATTATACAATTATAGCTATTATAATATAACAGATATAATTATAATCAATAAAATAAGTTTTTAATGCATTCAAAATTCATGTAATATGTGCTATTGTGTATTTAACTAAACTGAAAATTTTGGTAAGTGGTTAAACTGTTCGATTATTAATTACCTGCGGTTATAATCGTACTTGAAACTTAAATTTCATTCACGAAGGTATGACCTCCATGGTTTCATTTGCAATAATCCTAATTTTATTTAACTATACTATTCAGAGATATTATCATATAGATAATTAATACTTCCAAGTTGCGCAGTTATAGGAAATAATTTTCATAATAAAATTATTTCTTTAATGCATGATTTTAATAAGGGGACAGTTATTCTAATTAATATTCGAAGTGTTTCATCAAAGAGCAACACTAATCGCAAAGTAATGACTTGATTAAAATTTACTATGTCTTGTTGTGTAGCTCAAATTTTGAATAATTACAAATTAAAATTTTGATTTTTATGAATCACTTAATTAAATTAAATTCGCTACACAACATTCAAGTTTGGTTATATTCTTTTATTTGGCTTATTAATTCTAGTGTAATCTATTTCGGCTATTCGAGTTTACGCGAACTGCGTCTTCGATCTTTACACTCAGACAATGGATTTAGGTGAAATTTTCATGTAATACACTCAGTTTTTCCGGTTAAAAATTAATTTGATTTCTTAGTATTTAAGATCATTAGTTGCAGAAAAATTAGCTCTTTCACCCTTAGCCTGTCGAGCGATTTTCTGCGAATCCCTTTAAAACTGTCGCTAGCTTTGGACCGAACTTCCCGTAAAATGTCGCGAAAATAACCCTAAACCTCTGAAAATTGTCAAGCAGTTCTTTTGTTACTTCCCATCCCTCCCAGAATTTTACTTCAATGATTCCGCTAAGTGAGATTGATTACTAAATATTGTTCGGTGAGCTCTCAAGAGAATTGCAAAAGGCTAGACTCTCCGTGATGACCGTCTTAATGCCGCAGGGGGTACAGCTGCGAAACTTAAGAGTTTCCTTCCCTTAAACAATCTTAACAATCTTATCTCTACATATCTTCTCTACATATAATAAAAGAAAGAGTCTGTCTGT